TCCTGGGATGGAAGGTGAGGGATCAGGAGGGGGGGGGGCGGCGGATCTCGAGGCGGGGGGGCACGGAGCCAGCACATACATGCAGTCGGTAGGCTATAGAGCCGCCGATCGTGTGTATGTGAAACAGCCGGTAACGGCTCTTTGCATTGAACGGGTTTTTTCTGCCCGTGCGCGAGCAGAAAAAAAAAAATGCCGTCGGAGACGGCAACCCGCAAATGCGAGTCCGCCGTCCGTCTGTGAAACTGCAAAAAAAATACAATACCCGAAATTTCCCACAGGCGACGCTTTAAACCCTTTTACGGCTCATCAGTTCCCTGTGATCAGTGATTGGCAGGCCGAGAATTATCGCTCTCACTGCAACGCTCGCGGCGATCTGTAACGCCTGCGGCACCATCGGCTTTTTTGCACGTAGGCGCATCCAATGGTTGCTTGCATTTATATGTGGGGGGCGGGGACTTAGTGTGGGGTTTTTTTTCCCCCCCCAACAACTTTATTTCTAGCAAGCCCCCTATGTGATAGCAAATTTACAGTGACAGGTCCTCTTTATGAAGACATCAGGTGTCTATAAGCCCGCCCCTAATGTCACCTGGGGACCCCAAAGAAGCTGATGAAGCCGAGATCTACGTCGCCACAGCAGCCGGAGAAGTGACAGCTGAAGGTGGAAGTGATGTCATACGCGTCTCTTCCACATTCGGTGATCGGGGGGAAGCTGAGCTGCTGGATCTGTGTGCCGATCTCCCCTCCAGCCACAGAGACCTGCCTTGCCGTGCCCGGGGTGCATGGAGGACAGGGGAGCCCGCGATGGTCTGCGGAGGAGGGAGGGGTGCGCACACTTCCCACGGCTCTAACAGCCCAGATACTTGAATGTACTCGGAGCTTCATTTTGTCAAACTCCCCCACTCCTGATTGCGCACGGCAGTGGGTAGGAACGTTTAAAAACGCCCCCCTGTACCTCGGCGTCCGCCCGTTTATTTACAATCAGCCGTACGGCAATCGGTTAAGAATAGACCCGGATGGCAAGTGAGATCACATTACACAGACTGCAGAATCGTTTAGAAGAGTGACAACCCCCCTCCCCCCATAGCAGGGATAGGTCCGGATGGTCCAGTCAGTTGTACAGACGGTGTCACCTTTACGATGCTGACATTTTGGATTTTGGGTCACATGGTATAAAGCCTCCCGCGTGCGAATGATGAAATAAGAGAAATGAGAAGTTTCCTGTAGGTGGCCGGCACTGTGATCGGGGCGGCGGGGTGAACGTGACATGAGCAGGAAGCGGGGACACCGGCACTCCAATGTTCAAAGTCTTTTTATTGTAGAAAAAAAAACCGACATGTCACAAAGTTGCGACGACCGTTTCGGGGGTCACACAGGATCCCCTTCAAGCAATGACATGTCTTTGTTAGAAGAAGGGGATCCTGTGTGACCCCCGAAACGGTCGTCGCAACTTTGTGACATGTCGGTTTTTTTTTCTACAATAAAAAGACTTTATATTTGAACTAACATTGGAGTGCCGCGGTGTCCCCGCTTCCTGCTGTTACGTGGCGGTTGGAGTGCGATGGGTTCATGGATCTAGCCGAACATGACATGGGGACGCGGAGGGCGGTGAGAGGAGAGTGCTGCCACTAGAGGGCGCCCTTACACCATGTCTCCCCCTCGCTGTTTCCCCAGAAAGTAAGACCTGGTGCGGTGGTAGCATGTGAGGGGGGAAGAGCAGGAGAGATGGTGTCGGCCTGCAGGGACATACTGTATTGAGGGGATGACGGGGGACTCCCTCTGGCCGGCGCAGTGACAGTGAGCGCTCCAGTACCAGACTTCACCCACTGCTGTCCCCCTGAAGGCGCTGCTTAATGTAATGGCGCCGTACTTTACTGCGCTGTCTGATGTCCCCACTGCGGTGCATGGCAAAGGAATGCCGGCGCTGTAGAAAGCAAGGCTGCGGCGGCGGAGGGGGCAGAGCCGCATTAGCCGATACTTCCTCTATAGCGCCGGTTACGGTGACAGGCGGAGTGACACCGGATAACTTTGGATTGTTGCACATTAAAGAAAAGTAAGACATCCCCTGAAAATAAGACCCGGCTTGTTTATTTGGGGCACAAAAAAAATATAAGACAGCGTCTTATTTTCGGAGAAACACGGCACTACCAATGCCCACCCCGCGTACAATATATAGGCTCG